CGGTCTTTCTGTCTTAGGAAGGCACAGGGGAGAAGCTTCAGTATTCTGTTTTCTCTGCCACCTGCCCAGGAGAGGCCAGCATCTCATAGCACATCCCATTTACTCCCAGGAGCTGAGTGCTGGGCCTGTTCTGGGGAAACTGGATGGTGAAAAAACAGACAGACGAGCACAGCCCTTGTAAAACTTATGTTCTAGCAAGGTGAGCAGTGCTGGGGAGGAAATGAAACCAGGTAACAGGGAAGGGTGGCTGTGGGAGGACTGGTGGGAAGTGACCTCACAGTACCGTCGAATGGCAGCCACTAGATATGGCTAAATTCAAAATAATGAAAATTGAATAGAACTAAGCTGCATCTCCCCAGCCACACCAAACGTACTCAAATGCTCCACAGCACATGGGATGCAGTTATCACATGGGACAGTGAGGACAATGGTCCATTTATCGCAGAAAGTCTACTGGGTGGCGCTGCTGGGCTGAAGGGGAGGGTGGAGAGCAGCAGCAAAGACGTGGAGAAACCACCAACCAAGTCTTGTGAAGGCCGGTGTGTATGGTGGCTCAGCGAACTGAGGTTAATACAAGTTAAATGTATGTGGTATCAGTAGAATTGGGAAAAATTTGCTCAGCTGAGACAGTGTGGTGGAAGAGTAAGTTTTGAAGGAAATAGTGGGGACTCTAGGTTGCTGCCTGGGCTGTGCAAACCTGGGGTGCCCAGAGAACAACAAGGCCTAGAGGCATCATTGGCAGGCATGTGGGAGCCTCGGGATGAGCCAGAGAAGACACTGGGGGGCTACAGGCACAGACACAGAAAGCTGAGACTGGATGTTTCCCCAGAAAGAAGCTGGAGATTTCAGCCAGATGAGGATCTGAACTTTCTAGCAGGGACAGCCCCACCCCCACATAAACATAGACTTGTCGAACAAACACAGCACATCAGTTTCAATGAATAAAGCTGGAGTCTGGTTCTACTTCAAGCAAGTCCTTTAACCTCAGTTCTTAAAACGATCTAAGAAATTCAGGAGATTGTATTTATGTTTGAAAAAGAGAGTATGAGCCTGGTGTAATCAGGAGAAAAACAAACATCCCAAACGAGGAACATTCTACAAGGTCTTTGAACAGCACTCCTCAAAACTGTCCAAGTTAACTCTGAGAAACTATAAAAGCCAAGAAGAGCCTGAAGAGACCTGAGGGTTGGCTGTTACATGGAATCCTGGAAGAGTCAATGGACAGCAGATAAACACAGAAGAAAATAAAGTAGTAACATCAATTAATAATAACGTGTGCAATATAACAAAATTATTCTAGTGTGCAATGTAACAAAATTAGGTGTGAAGTGTAAAGGACTTAAGTTGTCTTATAATTTTTCTGTAAATCTAAAACTATTCTAAAACATATCTTTTAAAAATTAACGGTTTAAAGAACACCCATTAAGTTCCTGGTACAACTAGACTGACAACAAATATTAGCTCTGTGCCCCCTCAGAGTAAAGCATCAAGTAGTCAGGAGCTGGGGCCGCCTAACCATCCCACAATTGCCACGCGGGACTCCAGCGAAATGTTAGCCAACAGAAATAGAATACCAGCAACACATGCAATTTTAAATTTCCAGGAAGCCACATTTAAAAAGTAGAACAGGTGAAATTTTAATGCCTCACTTTATTTAATCCGATGCATCAAAAGTACTACCATTTCAACACATAAGCAATATTTAAAAATCTGCACTTTGTTTTCTGCCTTAATTCATGTTAAGTAAGTCTAAAAACTGTTTCCTGATCAGAGGTGCTATATTCAAACGCTCAATAAAGCACAGGTGGCCAGCGGCCACCCAAGACCCACGACTCGCGGCCAGCCCGCATTCAGGCTGCCTGACAGCCGCGTCCTGGCGCAGTTACCCGCGAAGGCCCCTAGACACGTGCGTCACCCTTCCAGCAAAGATAGGATCAACCTGCCCTCACCCTCCCCGAGGATTCGGATGTTAAGAACAAGGATGGTAGCCCTCGATCCTGGACTGAAATGCCGGCTCAGGCTTCCCCAGGCGCCCGGCACCGGCTCCTCCCATGACGAGCCGCATCGCAGCCCGCGCCCCGAACGAAGACCGCGCCTCAGTCCCGCGTCGCGCCCCGTCCGCGGAGACCGCGCCTCAGCCCTGCGCCCGGCCCCAGCCCCTTAGCTGCGCAGGCCCTTAGCAGCGCCAGAGTCAGCCGCGTACTTATCCCAGTTGGAGTCCCAGACGCCGGGACCGGGGCGCGCGGCCCCCGCCCACGCCGGCGGCTTGACCACCCGAGGCTCCGCGTCACCGCCCGCGCGAGGCTTGCCCACCGCCACAGCCGAGAAAAGTACAGCTGCTGAGCCTCCGGCCAGGCCACACGCCGCCAGCTGCAGCGCCTTCCTGAACGCCATGCTGCCCGCCCGAGCCAATCCCGCGCAGGCGCTTTCGGTTCGGACGGCGCGCCGCCAGTGACACGCTTCCGCGGGATTACGCTTCCGGCTAGTCGGCTACGCGAGGGCGGAAGTCCCGCCCCCCGCCCCGCTACCTGGGCCTTCTGGGAAACGGCCGAGTGCGCTGAGGGCAGCGGTTGGAGAGCTCGAGTGTCCACGTGGCGCTTCTCGGGAGGCAGGCGTTGCGGCACGGCGCCTACTTCGAAGGGGACGACGGGTTCCAGAGAACCAAGCCTGGAGGCCGAGGCTGGAAGGAGCTGGGAGCAGCGGAGGCGAGCGAGGGCCGTGAGCACCAGAGCCTGGGATTCTAGTTCGAGTGAGCCGGGAGAAGTCCCCGGCGTTGGTCGCTTTTTATTTTTACTGTGGGGAAATACACATCATAAGATATACTGTAGTATTCACTTTAAGCGCACATTGCCGGGGCATTGGCGCATTCACGCTGTAGTGCAGCCTCCCCACCTCTTATTCCAGGATTTTCTCTTCTTCCCAAACTGAACTCCTTTCCCGGAACCCGTCCCCCTCCCGCTGGCCTCTGGCCCCGACCATTATGCTCTCTACGAGTTTGACGACTCTGGGGACCTCGCGTAAATAGTCATACAGAGTCTGTCCTTTGGGACTGGCTGATTTCACTGAGCACCATTCCCTCACTGCACCCATGTAGCAGGTGTCGGGATTTCCTCCTTTTAAGGTTGAATGTTCCACCGTGTGGATGGACATGCTTATACACTCATGGGTCAGTGGACCCTTGGGTTGTTTCCACCTCTTGGCTGTTGTGAATCCTGCTGCTGAGAACACAAGTGTGCAAATATCTCTGTATTAAGTCCCCACTTTCAGTTCTTTTGGGTGTAGACCCAGAAGTGGTATTCTGGATCATCTTTGCAGGTTTTAAAGTTGGGAAATGGCATGATCTGCTTTACCTTAAAAAAAAAAATTACTCTGGGTTTTGGAGCATAAATTTATTCCACAGAAATGCCCAGACCTTTGCTTAAACATGTCTTGAACCCACACATTTGATGTTTCCTTCCAAAAAGTTGTTTATCAAAATGTTAGTAAAAAGATTTTTTAAAAGAAAAAAGACGAATCCACAAGGACATACTTGAGTCTACAGGAGAAAACAAAGCAAAGAGATCAGTTGACCAAATTTTGGACACTGGAAATCAGATCATTATTGACCTGCAAAGATGGAACATCAGTTGCCTGCACTGAGGGAAGCCAAAAAGCAAGCTCACTTCAGTTAGTTGGGGAGAGGGGAGTCATGGGCACTAGCCCCACTTCTGAGGAAGGTAAGTGGGGCTAAACCCATGAGGGCTGATTGAAAATATGTAAGAGGCTGCCCTCTGCACCCCTCCATCATCTGTACATTCAGATGAATATGTCACCTCTATCATGGCAGAAGATGAGAGAAATTTCATCCCAGATGATTTGAACCGGAAGAACTCTGGGTTTAAGAACACACATAGCTGAGACTGGGATGCAGTAATAGAGATGACACTATATGAAGTTTACATACGAATAGTAGGGCCTCTAATCCCTTCCAGTTAACCACAAGAATGTTCGCTGCCCCACTAAAACCATCATACTTCCCCCAGGGGCAAGAAAATTAAAGTATTCCTCTCTGGGGAAACTGACCAACCTGAGAGAAGAGGCCTCAGCTATTGAAAATGGGGGATCCTCAATAAAACTGGACCCCTGCTTGGTCTTGGTCTTCCCTCAGTGCTGAGTACCACTGGGCAAGTACAGCCCCCCCACACTAAGGCGTGAGTGGCTTTGGCTCTTAAACACTGATGCACAGTTGTAGATAAAATTGCAGTATTTCCAGAATCTCTCACCTTGCCTTAGTACATCTCCATATCAATAGGTGTTTCCAAGGGATGGAGAGAAGTAGTCTATCTCCACAGCCATAGGTGATTACAGGGTAGGTGAACAGTGAGCGAGCATCTGGACCTGAGAGTGTTTTGGGGGCCTTTGCAGCTGGGTCGCAAGAGATACTGGGTGAATGGGAGTAGCTGACTCTTGTAAGCAATAAATGGATTTCTCCCACTTTGTTTTTCCCTTTGACTGATTTTTGGCTTCAAAGGTTTATTTGCCCCAGGCTGGGAACACATTTTTTTCCCCTGAGTTAATAACAAGATCAGATGTTTAAGGAATTCCTGATTAGAAAAGATACCAAATCAAACAAAGTGAACCCTGAGAAAACAAATGGCAGGTTGGACAGAGGAAAATTTCAAAAAACATATAATTAAGATCTGGGAGGATATTGTATCTATGAAACAAAAATGGAACACTGTCGGGAAGGAATGTTCTAGGAATGGAAAAAAGTGGGGAGGGAGGGTTAATATAAATGAGCAATAGGAGAGCAAGGGGAAAAAGCTGAAAGGGTGGCATATATTTATCACCCAGCCTCTCAGAATTCCAAGGCTATAAAAGCCCTTTTCCTATGGTGCCAGGTATCTAAGCAGTCGTACTATATATTTTACAATTTTAAAAAAAACTTAAAAAATCTGAGGGCAGCCCTTTGACCACATGTTTCTCCAAAAGTGACAATCTGAGGGATTAAAATCACTGAGAAAGCTACATTACAGTTTATTCTGATAATTCAATCCAAGGTGACAAGTGAAACCATATTTTAAGTTTCTAGGGCAGTGCTACATGAACACAGCTACTGCCTTTTTAAGATATGAAATTCTGATTAAAAGACCTTTTTCTCATCATTCTAGGCCATCTTGAGTCACATTATTTAGAGTCAGATAAAGTCCTGATTAGGTTGTTTCTGCTCTCAATTTGGGCAGGTGAGCATTCCCCAGACCCATGTCCACAGTCTGACATTCTCTTCAGGCCATCTTCACTTACCCAGAGAAGCCAGGTAGGCGTACCAGAACAGAGCCACCACGTTTGCAAAAAGCACCCGGAACTGCCAAAGAGAACACAGTCAGGCCTTGGTAAAGATGGGGGCTTTGATTGCACTCAGAAGGCACTGATCCCCTGGGACAGAGTTCTTGGTTGGTCCACCCACCTCACTATAGCATTCACTGAGTCTATACTTTGTACAAAGCACTGTGCTTCGCCCTTAACAGTCCCTGCCTAATGATATTTATAGGCTAGTAGGGAAAACAGTTGCTCTTATTCTCCTTCACTGAACACTTTTGCTCCTGGCTCGGCCTCTCACCCCAGCACCAGCCACTGTGCAGGTAGCTTGACTAGCCCCTTCCTGCTCCCGCTACTTTAACCTGTTGCTGTTCCATTACAAGGCTTCCATGAGCTGATGGATATACCCCCAGTGAAATCACCTTCAGTCAACCAGTGAGTCTCCCTGGCATATGAGCTCCATGAAAATAGCAGTCTGTTTTACCTCATTAATTACTGTATCCCCAGAGTCTAGTGCAATGGGGCATAACAGTCCATGCTCAATAAATATTTGTTTAATAAACTCTACCACCCCTTTAAGCAGTCACCTGCAACCACCTAAAATGCAAACTCTGACCTGACGTTCCATCTTCTCAGGTCAATAATACCGGCACTGTCCCTAAGCTGCTCAGGATTCCATTTTCCAGCCTTTGCTCTCTCACTACCCAGACTGAGCATCCTCAAGCACCCCGTCTTCTCCCTAGTTTCAAGTGGTTTACTCAATGGTGTACAAAAGAGGACAAACACAGCAGGCCAGAGGCTACTGTCCTTTGAAAGGCACATTTGAAAGGACGGCCCTTGGCTGGTGTCTGGAAACTGGGTTTCACGTGGTTTCCCACCTTTCCCCGATTGATAATGGCTCCCTGTGCCTAGAGTGCTTGCAGGAACAATGTGGTTGTTTCTGCAGGCAATCTTCTCTCCTGGGACTTGAATTCTGGCACATGCTGGGCAAAGGTGTCTCCATGACCGGCCCCAGTAAAAACCCTGGGCAGAAACAGGCTGGGTGGTGGTGGGCAAGAGCTGCTGTGTGACCAACAGGGAGGGAGCCTAGAATGTCTGCTGTGGATTTCCCAGGATCCAGTTGTATGTCCTTGCTGCGTGGCTGTAATAAATGCAGGCCATGTGCACAAAGATACCCTGAGTCCCCTGATTCCTTCTAGCCAATCTTCAACCCTGGAGTGGTCTTGCAACCCGGCAGAGCCATGCTGTACTCAGTATGCAGACAGTGATAACGGGCCAGCCGTGACCTGGAGCCAAGGCCTCCCCAGAAGGCTGGGCAGGCAGGCAGCATAGGTGCAAACCTGCCTGGACCTCGGCACAGGCCCTGTTGAGCTCGCTTCTGCTCAGACACACGGCTTATAGCCCCTCATGGCTCCCTCCATCCTGAGTGGGTCCCAACGTCATCAGGCGGCGCGCAGTCCCCGCGGGCGTCTTCTGGTGTATTCACTGAGTGCTCCGCCCGCCGCCAAGGGGGTGACGTCACGGCAGGTGTGGCTGTCCTCGCCCGCCTGCGAACCTGCCACCACTTTGCATCTGCTCACGCTTCTGCGAACGCTTCACCGCAGAAGACGTCCGCAGATGGGAGTCCCTTATACTCATCTTCACCCCCCGAGAATCCGAATCCCTGGAAGGGCTGTAAATTGGGGTGACAAGGAGGTGGGAAGCGGTCTCGGGTGGAGGAGGGAGGGCCCCGCGCGGACCTCACCTGCAGAGGCACATAGTTGACGTTGACGAACTGAACCGGGGTCCAGACCTGCCAGTTGGTGCGCAGCGCCGGCCAGAAGCGCCTCCTCACGCCGGCGGCAAAGGCGGCCGCGTCCCTGCCCTGGAAAGGAGGGCGCGTGGTGAGCCACCTCTGCGACTCGGGTTGGAACCTGGGCACCAAGGTCTGGAGGCCAAATCCTAACACAACGGCTTTTTAAACCAGATTTTGTTCCGCTTTTGCGTAGACGGTACACCCGTGTGCGGGGTGAGCGGCGCAGCTAGAGGGAGCTAACCATCCAGCTGGGACAGCACCAGGTCGCGCGCGGCTCACCCTGCTCCGCGCCCATCCCTCCTCACAGGGCTGACCCATGGGGTAACACGTGCTGTGGCCTTGGGCACCCGAACTGCTGTTTATGGCGCAGCTATCAGTTCTTTCCGCAACAGTCTCCATAGATGATGCATTTCCAACCAGAGCTTTTCAGGAGTTTTTAAAAAACGAACCCCAGTAAATTGATGGGACATGTCATCTGGAAGGGTAAATGCTTAGGATTTATATACAGTATATACAGAGAAGAAAAGTAATGATTCTATAACATCGTACTGCGCTGATGGACAGTGACTGTAATGCGGTATGTGGGGGGGCCTTGATAATAGGGGGAGTCTAGTAACCATAATGTTGTTCAAGTAATTGTACATCATTAGTGATATCAAAAGTTAAAAAAAAGAATAGCCATCTTAATAAAGAATAACAAGGGGAGGGCTACCTAACTAGATATTTAAAAAATACTAAAGATTATGGTAATTATAAAAGTCTAGTAGCAATACCTCCCGGTCCCTAAAAAATCATATAATGGAAATTGACAGAATCCAGCAAAAGAGCAAAGGGTCCACACAGTGGCCTGTACACATGGGGATAAGAATATGACAAAGTTAACGTTTCAGAACACAAAAGACTGTTCAATTATGGAGTCAATTTGCTTTTTAAGTGAAAAAAGCCAAGACAGAAGTAAATCTCCTACATATGAAGTAAAAAAAAAAACAAAACCATAAGAATACTAGAGGGAAGTATAGGAGAATACTTCTATTATCTTTGAGTTCATCAAAATGTACAAAATATCATGAAACTATGGGAGTATATTTTAAATATTTTATTTTAAGGAAGCATATAAAGGAAAAGAAGGACATTTTAATACATGAACTGTTAAACTCGCATATAGAGAAATACACTATAAAAAACCTTATACAACTTAAAATTTGTAACTTTATAAAAATCTTTTGATGTTATATGAAGTTAAAATACAAACACCTAAAAAATGGGAAAAATATCTGCACCTTATATTTGGCAAGGGATTGAGAACCTTAATATATAGAAATTACAAATCAGTAAGAAAAAAGTAAATGGAAAGTTTATGGAACTACAGTAAACATATAAAAAGGTGTTCAACATCATAAAGATATTTAAATTATTTTTCAGCTATGAGACTGCAAACTATTTAAAAGAAAAATACAATCACAGTTGTCAAGAATGTGGGGAAACAAACCTCCTGGGGGTAAAAAAGCCATAGGGTTAAGAGCGCCAGAGACACAAAGCCTGGGTCTGAATCCCAATTAATGGACTTGCAAGTTATAGGACCTTCAGCCCATGACTTACTCCCATGGCCCTCAACTTCCTCAACTGTCAAATGGGGTTTATTTGAGGTGCAAATGACATAAAGCACTTGATGCAGAGCTTGGGACAAGGCCAGGTGCTCAATACATGTCAGCTGTTTGTATTATTTATGTCACTGCAGGATAAACAAGGACAGCCTCCTTGGACCATTCTAGCACAAGTCCTTACACAAAAGGGACAGGCATGTGGGATGCTGTGTGTCTGTAACATGATGTATATGACCACAGTGTTGGGTTCAGAGGCATCGAGTAGGTGTGGTACAGTGTGTTCCCATGTGTCATTTATGTTATTCACTTTAGTCCCACAGACATATATGTATGAGGTTTTTGTTTTTTAATAAAAATGTATCCCCTTCATATTTAGAAGGAAAAACAATGAGAAACCTTTACTTCTAATGTGGATTCCCTTTGCTTCTTCCTACGTCAGATTTCCTCAGGACTTTCCAAACATTTCTTGTTACTATCAGGGACTTATTAGCTATCACAGTTAAGCTAGACATCTTTCATTCTCCCTCCAGGGTCTCTTTAGACAACAAGGGGTGTTTTCCTTAGTAACAAGAACTCAGAATGGTGTTTCAAAAGAAAACCTAAGTGAAACCATTTACCTGCTGTGAATGGTTGAAATAAATTACCATCAGGGCAGAACATGATACATCTTGGGCACACAGCACACAGCAGGGGTTGAAAGTGCTCATAAACTGGGAAGGGACTTGGGTTGGGCACATTAGAACAGACCTGCCTGGTGACTGCACTGGAACACACCTCTTACACAGTGGGTTGTGGTGTCTATGCTGATAAGGTAATCTCTTCAGAGCACATCCAGGCACTGAGTTAATGCGAGCTTCTGCAGCATTTCAGTAGGGGTCTGAAACTTCTGTTTCATGAAGCCCATGGACACCCTTCTCAGTTTTGTAATGTATAAAATAAAATAAAATATACAGATTACAAAGGAACCAATTACACTGAAATGTGGCTACCAAAATATTCAGACAATTTTATTATAGACTAGTACGTGTGTTTCTTTATGAACACATCCAGCAACAAGACCTAAAGGCAGGTACAGGGAGTAATGAGCATAAAATAACACTCTGGGTATCTGTAACAACTGAGGATGATATGAAAGTATCTGACTGCTCCTGCAGACCAACAGGTACTGATAATATGACTTGGTTTATTTCTGACATTTATAAAAGAAAATGTGAAACTTCAATTTGAGTGTACTGAAAAGTTCACAGACCCCTGAATTCCACAGGAGGATACCAGGTGAAGAACCCCTGTGCCAAATGAAGATCTGTTAGAAGGGCTACGGCGTAAGACCAACCTCCAGGAAGTTCATGACGGTGAAGAACAATAGCAGGAAGGCCGGTGCAAAGACGAGGCGGTCCAGGAGGAGCCGCTTGACCCCTGCCCAGGGGACCTCAGAAGGGATCCAGTGCTCCATGAAGAGGTAGAAGAAGTGACTCAGTGGCCCTGTGAAGAAGAACCTGAGGCCCCGCCGTTGGGGTGAGCTGGACTCAGTCCTCTGGATGTGCCCTTCCAGGGTCCAGCTTCACCCCCAAGGTCCAAGTCTGAAAACCTGCCTTCCTGGAGTCCCTCATCACTGACCACATAGGTCTACATGCTCCTTCTAGAAAATATGCTTTCTTTGAATCTCCTCCAAGCATTTTTTTTGCCTTTCACAGACCAGATTTGTTCTTGCCTTGGGTTCCCCCAGTCTTCATGTGACCAGCTCCTTCTCAATCCCATCAGCTTGGAGAATTCTTTGCTGGTTGTCCTGGATAATCAACCCACCACTATCCTAGCCACTCTCAGTTCCAAGTCTTGTTTCATTTTCTTCATAGCATTTTTCACTACATGTCATAATCTTATTTGAGTAGTCAAAAAATACGCTCTCCTCAACCCCAAAAGGTAAATGCCACGAGACAGGATTGTGTCTATCTGTTCACTGCTGTGACTGCAGGCCTAGAACAGGGCCTGGCTCAGAGAAGGTGCTCAACAATAAACAAATGGACACATGTCTGGTGTTAGAGCTGCTCACCAAACTCCCTAGATAATTAGCAAGAGTGAAACCTAGTAGTGTGTGTCCATACTGGCACTTCCTACTATTTGTTCCAAAGTAAACAGAGAACTTGGAAGGGAACTACATCTGTTGGGACAACAGATCTGCAGCTCCAGAAAATTTGGCATAAAAAGATAGGAAGGAACCCATAGATCTTTCAATTTCTGACACTGGAAGTCTTTAAACAAGGGGAATCTCAGTAGTCTTCCCCTTGCTGTAGAAGGTTCAGTGGCCTGGAGCAGGGGTTCCCAGTAGGAGGAGAATGAATGAAAAACTGCAATTGGATGAGGCTTCCCAGATGATACCGATATGCATCCCTCTCTAGGGGCTTACACTTTAAATATGTTATGGAAAAAGCTGTGATCACTATAGTTAACATACAAAGACAAAATCTGTGAATTTTGAATTGAAAATAAAAAAACTTTGTTGTAAAAGACTTAAAAATAATCCACCTATGCAAATACTGTCATTGGCCAGAGAACTCAGAGTGGATTTATTTAAAAAACTCCTAAATCTCTATGCTTTTGCAATTCAAAAAGTCATTCAGAAATGACATTTTTCAGGATACCTATACACAATGCTTTAATTTTTCCAAATTAGATTATTCCAGACTCTTGACCTTGACACCTTACTTTGTCACACTTAGTCTGCTACTGGGTAAACCTTTATGGAACTCACCCATAAATGGCATATCTGAGCGGCTCGCTGACATCTAGTTTTTGAAAGCAGTTTTCTTTTTTCCGTTTCTTCTCAATCATCTGGGCCAGGAAATTCCCAAGTGCTGACAGAATGCCACTGTGGACAGAGAGCTAATCAGAAAACAGAAGCAAACAGCAAGGTGTCCATTTCTGAACAGAATTAGCATGGCTGTTCTGAGATCATGCTGAGGATGGGTGGAAATGAATCTTTATTAAAGCAGTGCAATGTAAGGTCCCTACCTCAAAAAGTGGAGATGGTATAACTTAATACACACACAGGAGCACAGTAAGATTTCCAATTGGTGCAGTTTATCAATGCTAGTGTCCTGATCGTGACATTGTACTATAATTTTGCAAAAGGTTACTGTGTGTGGGAGGGAGATGTGTGATTATAAATGGGCAACCGGAAGTACCCTCATGATGGAACTTTCCTGTTTTGACTGTGGTGGATATACAAACCTATACACAATGAAACTGCATAGAACTGTGCATGCACACACATGTATGCCAGTACAAGCAAAGCTGGGGAGATGTTAATGTGATCTGTAGACTGTATCTACACCAGTGTCTTTGTTGTGATATTGTACTGTAGTTTTACAAAATATTACCAATGGGAGAAACTGGGCAAAGTGTAAAAGGAGTCTGCCTGTGTTATTTTTTACAACTGCATGCTAATCTACAATTATTGTCATAAAATTTCAATTAAAAGGTAGAGATAGGTCTAGTTGTTCCAAGGCTTGGTCTGTAGCTACCTTCTGACCATGGCTGCTTCTTTCTCATCCTCCCGTGCTCACTGTTCATTTTCTACAGTGACTTAGACCTTGCCACCTCTCCATCATTACCATAGCCTCCCTCAGGACCTTTGCAGTTGCTGTACTTTTTGCTCAGGAGCTTCTGCTTCCCTTCTTCGCATGGCCTATTACCTCCCCTTGTGCAGGCCTCTGTTCAAATGTCACTTCCTCAGATAAAACTCCCCTGACCACTTTATCTGTTACATATTAATCTGTTTTTTTGTCTAGTTTTTCACTAGAGTGCAAGCTCCAGGAAGGTGGGGATATTACCCACCTGTCTTAATCACTACTGAAACCCAGTACACAGGAAACATACTGCACATATTTATTAAATGCTAAAGTAATGAAAGGGGACAAACATAAAATTTATTAAAAGTAATGGAGGAGACATCTTCTAAGTTTAGGTCTCCAAATCAAAGGGGTGGAGCTAGCCAGCAGCGCTGCTGGACCGTCCTGACTCAGAACAGCGTGGGGACTAACAAACTGTGAGGTGTGGGCTCCAGGTCAGTGGGGGAAGGCCCCTGCACAATCCTCATTGTGTGCTCTCCCCCTGTCTGGCTCCCCGAGTTCACATTTTAGAGTGCCTAAGGGTTACTTTTCAGAACCCAATACCCAAACCGCACGTTCTGAGCTGTCTGGTTATTCTAAGGTCTTTGCAGGGTCATTTTGATATTCAGGGATTTCGCCTGTCACACTTAAACGCCAATATAGGCTGTATATAACCAGCTGGGTCACCGGACAACCGAGCACTGGACTGCGGGACCTCTGGGCCGTCCAGGTCAGCCCGCCCTCCCGACCCCGTCCCCCCGCGGCCGCTCCACGCCGACCTGCTGGCCGCCTTAGTGAGCACTGGGTAGAACTGCAGGAGGCGCAAGTACTGCGCGAGCGCCCGCCGCGGAAGCGCCCCGAGCACGACCTCGGCCCGCAGCTTCGACGCCGCTGGCGCCATAGCTTCTCAGCTACAGCCCGATGGCCCGGGGCGGACCCCTCCTCAGACCCACCAGTCGCGGCGCGGGGATCGCCTGACAATTCCTGTCTAGCGCCTCCCGACACTGACACAGCCGCGCGCGGCGGGCGCCTGAGCACACTTTTCCCCGAGTCCCTAACGGGCCACCGCCCCTCCTGCACCGGCGGCGATTGGAGCTCGTTGGGGCGGGGCGCGACGAACCTCCTGATGGGTGGCAGTGTGCTTCCTTTCTCTCGCGAGAGTTGGTGGAGCGCGCCAAATTTCTTCCCGGGAAGCGGAGGCGGTGGGGAAGCTATGGTTCTGAGAGGCGGCTGGCGGCGGCGCGTGGAACAGGGCGCGGACGGAGAGGCCAGTCGGTGAGGGCGGCGGCGCGGGGCTCGCGGTCCTTCCTTCCTGCGGAGGGGCTGGGCTTTGGCCAAGGGCCGGGTAGCCGACGGCGGGCCGTAGGGTGGGCGCAGGGCGGCGCTCCCTCCCTCTCCGCGCTCGCGGCGGTCTGAGGTGAGGTCGCAGGCGCCTTCGCGCCGCCGTTCGGTTCCGCGGCGCCTCGCGGTCCTACACGCCGTGCAGTTTTGAGTGCGCTGGCAGGCTTTCTCATAACGCGTGGAAATTTTGGGTGGTCGATGTCGTTAATTTCATTTCACCAAGAAACAGATTAATGCATTTGGGAACGTTTAAAAAATAAGTTAAAAAGTAAGGAAACAACTTTTTACAGAGACAATTGTGGGTTCTAATGCAGTTGTAGGAACGTACACCGAGTTCCCATAGGCCCTTAACCCGCCCCTGTGGGCAGCATCCTACACGCAGAGCAAGTCCCAGCCAGGAAATTGGCACTGCGCCTAAGCGAGTGTGGGGGCGAGCGCATCGCATTTCGTGTCCGCGGCACGCTTGGCCGGGTCCCTTGCCTTGTGTAGACAGGGCCCCTCTGCCCGCTCCTACCCGCGGCCTCGTCTCCAGTTTCGCTTTTGCAGTGGAGTCAAAATGTGTGTGGTTTGGGGGGTCGGCTCTCTGGCTCAGCAGAATCTCCTGGAAAACCACCCAAGCTGTTACCCGTGGATAAATTTGATAAACGTATCTGTGGGTGGGTGGAACGTTGGGTAGCCACCCCTTGGCTATTTGGACTATTTGCTTTTTGATCCCCCACAGTGAGTGACTTGCTTGACCATGCCCACGTGTGAATGTGTTCATCTCCCTGGGCAGCTCCCAGGAGCACAGTGCTGGGCCTTGAGCATCATCAGGGCCCAGGAGGTAGCACTGTCCAGCCATGATTGCTGTTGCTGGTGTTCTGGCTACAGTGTTGACCACCTTTTGAGTGTCCTGTCCCAGTCATGGTTTTACCACGATGCCCGCTAATTATCAAGCTTCTTGCCAAATGTGAGGTTTCCAGGGGTGCATCTGCCATGTCGCATCCGAAGGGCTTACTCTGGGCGGACTGAGGGTTGTGGGAGTGGCAAGCGTCCCGGTGGATGAAGACTGGATCCTCCTCCTCTCACTCAGGGATGATGGCCCCTCATCCTCCATTTCCGCACTCAAGCGCCTGGAACGCAGTCAGTGGACGGATAAGATGGATTTGCGGTTTGGTTTTGAGAGACTTAAGGAGCCTGGTGAAAGGACAGGCTGGCTCATCAACATGCACCCCGTAAGGACCAGGGTCTCAGGAAGGCATGGCACAGCCCTTTGCCTGAGAAGAGTGGTGCCACCTGTCTGGGTGGCACAGGTGGCCGTAGGGTTGTTAGAGGCTCTCCAGCTTTTCTCTCTAATGTCATTGGGCCACTGGGAAGAGTCAGGTGATGGGCATTCTTGTTTCCTGTAAGAATGAAGCTTCAGAGGTGAAGGGGACATTAAGAAAAATCCCCATTTGGAGGCTGTCATGATGTGGTCCTTGCGATCAGGGCCAGGATTGTTTGGCAGGGGTGGAAAAAAAGTTTTCCCAAGAGTGGGAGGGAAAGGGCTCCTGTGCCCTGTGGGGGATAAAACCTTGCCCATGTTGACTGATCTCTCCTAGACTGAGATTTTAGATGAAGATAAACGCTTAGTCAGTGCAGTGGATTACTACTTTATTCAAGATGATGGCAGCAGATTTAAGGTAAGCTCCTGAATCCCAAGAACCTAAAACCCACTCAGCAGTGAGGTATAGCTGGATCCAAATGATGAGGGATCATTAGCTGTGCAGCTGAGGAGAGGGATAAGTGGCTGCTAGCTTGCAGCAGCCTGAAGCCCTTTTGGGAGCATGGGCCCCTTGGAGCCACACCAGCCACCACCTAAGGTGTCCTCGGAAGCTAGCACGAAGGGCTGCAGGATGAGCCATGTCATGTGGCTTAGACTCTTGCCCCTTGAGTATGCTCTAGGTCTCATTTCCTACTGAGCCGCCTCTTAAAGAGATGCTGAGGTCAAGGGTGTATTAGATCTAGGCTGCTCACGGGTCAAAACAGTCTGTCTTCACTTTTCTTCCTTTTTCTTTTTTCTCATTGCCTCCAAATGGGTTGGTGACTCTGGCAGGTGGCGTTGCCCTACAAGCCATATTTCTACATTGCAACCAGAAAAGTAAGTCTGTGGTTTACAGACCAGGGCCGTGTTTTGTATGGGGCTTTTAGAATTGGAAATAAAGAGGCCTCCAGAAACAGGCAAATTGAAGGAAAATTGATTTTAAATACAGGGTCATTTCATCTGATCTTGATTTAGGGTTGTGAGCGAGAAGTTTCATCTTTCCTCTCTAAGAAGTTTCAGGGTAAAATTGCTAAAGTAGAGACTGTCCCTAAAGAGGATCTGGACTTGGTGAGTATCACCCAGACCTTCGTGATAGGTGGGCTGGGCCCACCCTGCATGTGGGGTGAGATGGGAAGAGGCCAAGTTTAGCACCTGTGGGGCAGTATGGGGCTTTGGTAACTGTCCATCTATCCTCTCAGAGCTCCAGTGGCACCACTGGCGCCACACACATAGTTAAACTAGGTGCCTTAGAGTCGCCAACTAACTCTTCAACTTGCATGTTGAATACCTTTGAGTCATTCTTCCCTGATTTTCTCTCCCCAGCAAAGTCCTTTTTCTCTTGACTCATGAACATGATCTCTTCACTCTGTAGCCAAATCACTTAGTGGGTTTGAAGCGAAATTACATTAAGCTGTCCTTCAGCACTGTGGAGGACCTTGTCAGAGTGAGGAAGGAGATCTCCCCTGCGGTGAGGAAGAACCGGGAGCAGGGCCGTGCTAGTGACGCCTACACGTCTATGCTCTCCAGGTAAGCTTTGCTCCTGTATCAAAGCAGCCAGTCTGTTTCCCATTTTTCCTAAATAGACAAGATGCACAGGAAACAGGGAAACTTAGCAATAGAGTTATTCACTGATCAGCTTTGTGTGACGTGGAAATGCTTTTGAACAATTAGGTAGACTTTCTTATGTGCTTCGTTTGTGTTAAATAAATGGTGGTTTACCAGGTTGTATTTTAGCTGTCTGTCTTTTCTTACATAGGAGGTGGATTTATGACTCCAAAATTGAGTTGCTGTGACAGTAAAGACATTTTGGATTCTTAATCCTACCACCTGAACACAGTCTTTTTATGATTTATGGCAAGTGTTAAGATGTCTACAAATTAAATACCTAGATTTACATAGCACATTTTCTCCAGAGTACCTTGGGTATTATGTAGGAAACCTTAAATGTAGGACATCAGACATTGTTCATCAAATGTTTGGACATTAAAGCAGTAGGAAATACGGTAAGAAATTAAAGAGAGAAATCTTGGCTCCTTTAAAGTTATGATAACTTCAGAAAAACTAATCATACCCTTTGACAAAAGATAAGTTTGAGACCTTGAACATTTCGGCACCACTACCCCCTTCGCAGTGGCTTATAAGTTACTTTTCGGAATATTGTAAGGTGTAACAGAGACTGAGTCACCAGAGGCCCTAAAACTCATTATCTTTTTTTTTTTTTTTTAATTGGTGGTGGTCCATTCAGCATTTGGAAGTTTGGAGTAAATGTTCTAGTGCTAATGGTTTCCCACTTGAATGTGATAAGTAACTGATGCAGAAATAGTTTACCCTTTACCATTAACTTCACTTGCCAAGAACTTTATGACTTCTGCAGGGTAGGCCTGTTTCTGTCATCCTTGCTTTCTTGAAGAAACAAGCTTGGCAAGAGTAGGTGTCACTGGTAGGCCTTTCAAGTAACAGGAAATGTTTCCTCTCTTTGTTTTTTCAGTTGGGTAACTTACATCCTATAAAATACATACATCCTAACTATGTGCTGAATTTCCTTGTATCTGGCCTGCTGCTGGGCTGGAGGGGTCATCCAATATTCCTTAAGAGGGCTTGTCTTGGTCATCTCAAACTCCTCAAGTTTACTTTTTGTGTTTATTCCATGTGGAGTCTGGTCTTCCCCTGGGCCCCACCTAGCTGAGTTTAGTTGAGTAAGCTGCTCTCTATGCTGCAGTGTTCTGCAAGGGGGTAGTGTGATTATTGATGAAGAGGAAATGTCCAAGAAGATTGCAGACCAACTGGACAACATTGTGGACATGAGAGAGTATGATGTTCCCTACCACATCCGCCTCTCCATCGACCTGAAGATCCATGTGGTGAGTGGGCCTTCGCTCATGGGCAGTTCCTACCAGCCCAGGAGTGGTAACTGAAGGATAAATCCAGAGAGAAATATACTTCCCTGGATGGGCATAAAGCTCTTTTGCTAATGCACTGCGTGTCCTACAGGCTCACTGGTACAACATCAGATACCGAGGAAACGCCTTTCCAGTGGAAGTCACCCGCCGAGATGACCTTGTGGAACGACCTGTAAGTACAGCTTTCTTGTCCTCCAACCTGAATTTTCCATTTGTTTCTGACACTCTCAGTGGAGTCTGAATCGGATGCGGATTCAGTGCTGAAAGGTGTGTTTGATTCAAAGATTTGTTTGCTTCTTTTTCCTCAAGTACTTACTTAGAAGAATCGGAGTTCTGACCTGAGAGTATAGTTTCCCTTTGCATCTGTGCATCACCATGTGAAATCAGTATTTGATCTAGACTGGATGAGAATATTTGAGGGAAA